TAAACTTTCCCTTATGTGCAGTCTCCAGGGTCTGCAAGTTCATTTGCAAAGCGAGTTCCTTTCTCCTCCTTTTCTGTTGTAATTGTGCTTTTCCCAGACAGCCGTGGATTCACTGGCCGCTAGGACCCACAGTTGCCTCTGCCAACACCTAGGAAACTGGTCGAAATGAAAGTATTTGGCCTGATCCAGAGAAAGGTGCTGGGGCAACTTGTCCCTCCATGCCTCCCGAGCTCTCAGTTTTGACATCTCCACTGAGGGACCCTTACAAGCCCCCATTCGCCCCAGAACTGCTCCACCCGAGCCGGCCACCCCACCTCTTTTGAGGTCCTCCCTCTTCAAAGGTGTGGTTGGCTTGTGCCTTTGTGGAATCCCCACTCAGAGGTGTTTTTGCCAACACTAATTCAAGGCTATGAGAAGAACTTATTTGTGGAAGGGCATTTGTTTTTCCACCGAGGCAGCCAAAACCACCAGCCTCCCTGGCCGGAGAGGAGAGGGAAGAGAAGAACCACTTGTTTCCCATGATCCCTAGTGGCAGTCCCACGAAACAAAGCACGGCAGGGTGACTCCAATCAGCTTTTCCTGAAACTCAACCATGGGTGCCTTCTGTCCTGATCGCTGGGACAAGGCACCCCCAGAAAGCAAACTCCTGATGCCCTCACTCAAGGCTGAGGTCAGGCCCTTCCACTGCCCAGCAGCTGAACCAGCCAGTACACACACCACAGCCTTACCCTGGACACCCTTCAGTCTTCTTGAGCAACCCGAAGCCAACATAAAGCAACTGAAAACCATGTTAAAAGCACAGAAGACAAACCTCAGCCCTGAATAGAAACCAAGTCAAATAACAGCTCCCCACCAACCAGCTTAGAGGGATGAGGGCAGAGGTGCTTTGTTTTTTTTCTTCCTTCCTTCTTCCGCTTCTATGCCCCCGCCCCCCTCCTCTTTAAATCCCAAGGGATGGGGCGCCTGGGTGGCTCAGTCCTTAAGTGTCTGCCTTCGGCTTAGGTCATGATCTCAGCATCCTGGGATCCAGCCCCCCACTGGGCTCCCTGCTTGGTGGGAAGCCTGCTTCTCCCTCTCCCACTCCCCCTGCTTGGGTTCCCTCTCTCACTGTGTCTCTCTCTGTCAAATAAATAAATACAATCTTTAAAATAAAATTTTAAAAAATCTCAAGGGATGAGGAGGTGGGACCGGAACCAGGAAACAAGAGAGCTGCTGATGGGTCCAGCCATGGTCCCTGAAGGAAGACCACGAGGCCCGGAGGGACTCCTCTCTGGGCATGCGCAGTGAAGACTGTCTGGGGCGTATGCGCATAAATGAGTTTGTGCTACTTGAGGAATGGTGTTGAGGACTTGATACAGGTTCAGGGTTCTCTGGAGGGACTAGAAGAGTCTCAGAAATCCAGGGAGTTCTCCTTCAGATTGCTCTGTGTCTCCCTCACCTCTTTTTCTTCTGCTTCTTGGCGGAACCACCTCTTCCTCCTTCCTTACCCCCCAGGTGAGGGGGAAAACGACCCCACAGGAGCCTGTTACAATCCGTGTAACTCCGACCGACAGCCTCTCAGTCTCAGATCCAGTGCTGTCTTCCTGGAGAAGATACTGTGATTTGTCCCCTTGGGCTAGATGCCATTCCTGGTCCAGACGACTGTGGTCAGAAGGGAGGAGTCGCATTGTACCAAAGGCGGGTCCAGAGAAACCAGCCCTGTGAATTGTGGGAAGACAGTCAAGGGTGCCATTATCCACAAGAAGACACCCCGCAATCATCTTGCACATTCAAACTCATTTAATAGTATTTACTTAACGTTATTTCATCCTGGAAATCACCCTCCCTCCCGTCTTCATTTTATTGACTTATTCCTTTCTTGATATGTTCATCAATATTTATAGAGTATCTACTATGTGTCCACCCTTGTGTGTCCTTTTCCTTTCAGGCATTTTTTCCCATTTATTCAGTAACTATTTAGTCAATTAATATAAAAGCGCTTGAACTTTACGATGGGCAAGGCATACTGGTAAAGGACTAGTTACTTACAGCTTTCTCCTAGCAGAGCAATTCCAACCGTTGCTGTAAAAAAGAAACTTACTTTCTTGGGCAGTCCTCAGACCAGCATGCGAGGCTTGCACTCCCTCGATCCAGAATGAGCTGGCCAGAGAAAAGGAAACTGTTTCTGTGCTTGATCTGTCTCCTTGTGAAAATCCAACTGGAAGCTTTCTGTGTTGTAACATGACAGGGTCAGCAGGGTGGCTCTGAGAATCCCTTCCTACTCTGGAGTTGAAGAATGTTAGACTGAGTCTATTCATCAGACTAATGGCAAAACCATGAGCCAACAAGAAGACAGACGCATCTCAGCGGATACGAGAGACTTGCAGCAACTAGTCAGCATGATCCCCGTGGAAATGAATTAAGAATTGAAGCCGAATAAATCCATAACGTCTTCTCACAGGAGGGGGCAATGGACATGATGCCTTCACCTCCTCGTTTCTTAAATATCTAGAGGATCTGACATTCAAAACTTACATCGAACAGGTGCTCCTCAAACATTAATTACCTAAGAGTCCTGATGGGTTTGTACCCTGACAGATCAAAACCAGACTCCCGGATGCAGAAAAACAGACCGACACCTTTTCCTTCGGCAAGTGAGGGGAGTCAATGGGACAGAACTTCCAGAAAGTTATGATTGACCTGGAGTCTCTAGGCAACAGTTCCTCTGGCAAACATTTGTCGAGCGTTTATTAACACCAGCCACTATGCTAGGCGCACTCCGCGAGGACCAAAGAACCCCAGAACTAGTGCTTGGCCATTTATATTGGGTTTAAGAGTCCATAAATACGCCTTACAGTACAACGTCTAAAGGAAGCTGACGGAGGAGCAAAATCCATCCAAAAACTGTGCACATTAAAGAGGAGAAAAATTCCATGGAGCAATGGGATTTTCAGCTGTGCTGTAGGAAAAACGACTTCCTCTCTGTAGGGTTTCTTTTTTTCCATAAACCTAAAGTCATGGCAAAGTGACAGCGAGCCTCAGCCAACATGGCAGTGGACGCATTGGTGGTTGTTCCTTAAGGAACTTTTCACTTTTAACTCTTACCTGGCTTTGCTGTCCTGGAACCAGCAATGTTACTTTCCTTTTAAGGTCTCAGCAAATGAGCAGGGAGGGTATTCTATGCTCTCCAAAGCCTGGCAGTCTTTAAGTAGCTCCTGAGAGCCAACAGGGCAGGGACAAAGGAAGAATGAGGACAGTAGCCATAGTGGGCTGCAATTTTATTAGAAACCCTCATCACAATGATCATTTTTCTTTGCTTGAGATCTAACTTCATACAGTGTAGGATCCAAGCGGGTGGGACCTGTATTTGCCTTGTTTACGGATGTGTTCCCAGAGCTCGCCGACCTTACTGGCCCATAATAGATGCTCAGTAATTTTTCATTGCATGGATGGATCTCTGTACATTGGCCTGAGTTGAAGCTCCCAGAAAGATCAGGTATTATTGTCCCCGTTTCCCTAGTGACAAAAAAAAGTGATTTTTCTCCCCTGGTAGGTATTAATAGCCCATTTTACATGTCAGGAAAGTGAGGCCCAGAGAAGTGACGTAACTTGCCAGGGGACACAGGGCTAAGAAGGAAAATGCAGGACTTGGCTTATAAGTGCTAGCCTATTTGCAGTAACTAGGATGGTAACTGCCACAAAGAAGAGACTCAGGAAATAATTTTTAATATGTTGAATAAATATAATTCCAGATCTGGGATTCAAGCCATGGATTGCTCCACTGTACTGCATTGCCCTCTGCCTCAGGTGCCACATCCCATGCTGATTTTCACATCTCTGAATCTCAGTCTCAACCTGTGACACTTCTAAGAGGGAACTTGATTCCACCGAATTGAGAGGTGAGGCTGCCTATTATAGTGTGGTCACAAAGGGACTGATGACCCTCTCTCTATCAGGGGAAAACAGAAAACATGAGCTGGATGAGTACACATGGAAGTCAAGGGATATCTCCAGTATCTCCCAACCCCACGTAGACACATCCAGTGGTCCAAGCTCATGGAAAACTATGGCAAATCCTTCTATGCAAGGACACCGAGGATTGAGCCCTCTGAGAAATAAGGGTTTGGGTCACCTTGCCGGGCAAACAACCTCAAGCAGGGAATATGGAACAGGTAGTGCAGGAGTAAGAAAGATTATCCATAACGTTGCAAGTCGTTACAGAAACTGGTTCTATTTGTGTGTGTGTATCAGATATGTATTTATGTATTTTAAATAACATTGCTTCTCTTTCTTCTCCCTTTCACGCCTCTTATGGAATATGGCAGTGGTGAAATTTACCATTTCATAGGTCGCGGGATATTGAAATACAGTCATGAGAAAACAGAAGACTAAAAGTGATCCAGGAAGCGCACACTCCTGGTAAACGCATCCAGGGACAGATCCAGATTATTTCCCTTCAGGCAAGTTTGTGTCTGTTTGTACAGGGAGGTGTGGATGTTTAGATAGAGCGTATTTAAAAGTGTGTGAATGGACAAAGCTCAAGCAGGGTCAGTGAAGAGATGGACTGTATTAGGCATAGCATGTTTGTGACTGCTTGGCAGCCAGTGCTCCTTCCTAGATGTGGTCCGTCTGAGGCGAGTTTTCCTAGAAGCAGATCCTGACATGAGAGTTCTTGCACAAGTTATTGACTGAAGGTATATTCTCAACCAGTAATGGAGTGAGAGAAGCAAGGTAGGGAAGAAGAAACACAGCCAAGAGGTACTGCTTTCCAACGCAGCGGAGCCTCAGCCTGAGCCTGTGAGGAGCTCTGGAGTCAGTTCCTCTCTGAGAAAGACAGAAGGGCCTTCATACCCATGAACCAGTCCAGTGTTGGCATCGGGCCATACTGGGGCTGGGGAAGGACATAACTCCCAGGCACTGTAAACGTGCCTGCGACAGCCAGGTGGGTGGGACACTGTTTTAGTTACCAAGCACTCTTTCTAAAACTCAGCTACCAAAAGCAATAATAAACATTACTTCACCTCACAGTTTTTGTGGGTCAGTCATCTGGGAGCAGCTCAGTTGGGTGGTTCTGGCTCAGAGTCTCCTGTGAGGTTGTGGTTTCAACTGACTGGGGCTGTGGTCTCATCTGAAGGCTAGGCTGGAGGATGTGCCTCCCAAGTGGGTCACTCACATGACCGGCAACATGATGCTGGCTGTTGGCAGGAAGCTTCAGTTTCTGCCCACGGGGGCCTCTCCATATGCCGCCTGAGTATTCTCAATACATGGCCATTAATTCCCCCAGAGCCAGTAAGCTGGGAAGTGGAGGAAAATGCATAAACACCTTTTATGACCTAACTCAGAGGCCAGACATGGTTTCCTCTGACATCATCTATAGGTCACACAGACTAGGTCTGACTCAATAGAGCAGGGACCAATCAAAGGTGCGAACACCAGTAGTGAAGATCATTGCTAACTGGGGATCATCGAGGAGCCTGGCCACCACAGGCATCACCAGACTCTGCTCCACATCCAGATTTTATTTTGAAGGATGATCTCTACCTTGTTGTGCATTGGCAGCAAAGTAGTTTCAGGTCTCTACCTTTCATCTCAGAAATCAAGAGATACAACCAGGAAAAAGTTATGTGATTTCGGTCCAGCCAATTGGATGTCCTCTCCCCAAACTTTGCTTCCTGAGCTTACTGGTTTGCTAGGGATTTCATAATGAGGTACCACAGGCTTTGGAGCTTAAACAACAGAAACTTATTTTCTCACACTTCTGGAAGCTGGAAGTCCCAAAATCAAGGCTTCCTCGGGGTTGGCTTCTCTCTCCTGAGCTTGCAGATGGTTGCCATCTTGCTCTGACCTCATGTGACTTTTTCTTTGTGTGTGTGTGTGTGTGTGTGTGCATGTGTGTGTGTGTGTGTGTGTGTGTGTGTGTGTATTCCTGGTGTCTCTCTGTGTGTCCCAATTTCCTCATCTCATAAGGACACCAAGTCAGGTTGGACTAGGCCCCACCCTAGTGACTTCATTTTGACTGAACTGCCCCTTGAAAGGCCCTATCTCCCCATCCAATCATATTCTGAGGTATTGGAAGTTAGAGCTTCCACACATCAACTTTACAATTCAGCCCCTAACACTTATGGAATGATGCAATAAAAAAGATGCAGATAGCAGAGGTATGCTAACCTGAGTCTTCCTACGGCAACCCTGCGGCCATGGCCCCCACTCTCCCGCCTCCGACAGCTTCCATGCCTCATTCCCACCTTCTAAACCTAATTTGCAAAACCTCCTGCCAGTTCTGAGAGATCCAGACTTTGCATTGAATAAATTAACTTTTGCTTAAGCCAGTTGTCATTGGCTTGTGTTTCTTAACAATCAAGTCCCCTGACCAGTACAGTGCTTTTTCCATATTTTCTGGAATGAATAGATGTCTCTTTCATCCTCAGGTGGGGGCAGGGTGTGGAGAAAAGTCCTTTTTAGAGTACAAAAGTACTCAGGCTAAATTAAAAATCTTCCTAAGCACGTCTTTCTTCTTGCTTGAATAACATATTTCTCACCTCATCCAGACACAGACATACACAAATCCACTAAGTTAAAAAGAAGGGGGAAGGTGTAAGACCTGTGGGGTTTTGGCAGTGAGTCAAATCACCATTCAGGCAGTTGATTGTTACCCGATACTATGCTTTTGTGACCACTGGCAGAACACTGGCTCATGTGGATGGCTGGAGATAGAACATAAGATCCCTGAGCCACGAGAACAGACTCTCACTCCCCATGTCTACCTGTCTCTTGGAGATACTCTTAAGACCGAGGCCAAAAAATTCAGTCCACATTCTGTCAGACCCGAGCTCCAGTGCCATCCGAGTGCATAAGCATCTGCCATTCTGGGCCTTAAATATATATTTTTTCATGCAACATGCCACGTAAACACAGCCAGCTACTTTTTCTGGTTCTCAATACAGAAAGAGTTCTAACGATGGAAGCAAAATTGGATCTGGTGGGTTTATGGAGAGAGGAGAGACTGGCCTCTAACAAAGCTACGTCGTAAGGGAGAGTCAAGGATATGTTTTTCTACACACATGTGTCTTATGCCCTCGCTCTTCATGGAGTTAACCACCCATGTAAGAAGCAACCTTTCTATACATTGTTTTTCCTTCTTTTTCTTCCTTCCTTCCTTCCTTCCTTCCTTCCTCCCTCCCTCCCTCCCTTTCTTTCTTTCCTTCTTTCTTTCTTTTTTTCTCTTTCTTTCTTTCTTTTTCTTTCTTTCTTTCCTTCTTTCTTTCTTTTGCTTTCTTTCTCTCTTTCTCTCTTTCTTTCTCTCTCTCTTTCTTTGTTTTTTTTTTTCCTGATCTTCCCCAAACTTGTAACATGACATTGCCAGGCCTTCAGAGACCACAGATCAAATGTAGCTTAAATGAATGTTGAGTCTCCCCTGCTCCTCCCCAGTTACCTTTTTTCCTTTCCTTTAGAAAGCTTGCAATGGACCCCAAGAGCCAGGCGATTCTGAACCTGATAAGGACACTTCTTGCCTGCTAGAATGACAGGCTGCAAAAGTTAAACACAGGGGGAAGTGAAGACAGACAATGAGGTTCGATTTAAAGCAAAAGAGAAAGGGACAGAGACAGAGAGTCAGAGAAGAGAGTGTGGGGTGGGGAGAGATATAAATAACCCAGAGCAACTGAAAACTGTCATCCAAACATATGAAAATGTTCCAGATAATTTAATGATAAGCAGGAAATTGCTGGAAAAACCAACAGTCATAGAAGGAGAAAATTGCAGTTGGAAGCGGGGGGTAGAATTGAGCTAAGTGTCTGTGTCGTAAAGTTTATTATTTTATTAGTTTTAATAGTTGGGTAGATAAGCTAATAGCAATAGGATTTACTTTAAAGATCAACACCATAGACTCTGCTGTTTATTATTTGATAGCAATGTGTCTCCAGTGAGGGGAATATTAAATCTCATAAAAAGCCATTCCTTCAGTACATCTAGACACTTTCTGCGTCGCACGCACATGGATTTTCCCCTATTAGTTCACATCTCTGGCCGGGGTTTTGTTTGGATAAGCCTTCTGGGGACATCTGCTCCTTGGGAATCTGTGAGAGCCATTTGAGCTCCCAGTCTGAATTCTCTGACCAGTGGATGGACCTGGAGTTCACTTTTCTCAGAAGTCTTTTTAGCGAGAGGTGATTAACTTACCCAGATCTGAATATATTGTATAATGTTGATGAAGACTAAGTGTGATAGATGGGACCCCATCACGCTGAAAACTATTCCGAGTTAAAAGAAATAATGTATTGAGCTTGCTTAGCACAGTGTCTGGTAAATCCTAAATGAATGCCAGCTATACAGGGAGATGGTAAGTGTAGCAGATAATTGTCAGTTCTGGAGTCAGAGCTAGGTTGAATGTCCTGGCTCTGATCTTCATATACTCTCAAACTCTCTCCCCCCCGCAAAATTCTTACGACTCACAATTTGCTATAAATAATAGATGCCACCTTAACCAAATGATCAAAGCCAACGTCACCAATCCTAGGAAAAATCTTGATATCATGTGCATCCTGCTAGGATGCACTTCTATGGTGTTCCTGCCAAAAGCACACACAACATAGATCTAATGCGACCAATCCAAACTGATGGACATTCTAGAAGATAACTGGCTTGTGCTTTTCAAAGCTGTTACTGTCATAAAATACAAAGAAACACTAAGGAAACCTTCTAGACTAACAGAGACTCAGGAGGCAATGACAACTGAATGTACTGAGTGATTCAGGAATGTTTCTTTTCCTTCTCTTTTTTCCTATTTTCTTTTCTTCTCCCCACCCCCACCCCCCTCTCTCTACTCTTTCTTCTTTCTTGTCAACATGCTATAAAGGACGTCATTGGGACGATTTGTCAATTGGTGAACTACAGTCTGGAGACTAGATAATGGTACTGTACCTGCATCAATATCAGTTTCCTGATATTAATAGCTGCACAGAGACTGTCCTTGTTTTTAGGAAATAAACACGAAAGTATTTAGAGGCAAAGGGGGCATTAAGTCTGCAACTGAATCTCAAATGGTTTAGAAAAAAAAAAAAAGGAAGGGGAAATAAAGTGAAAGGGATGGAGCATTAACATTTGGGGCCCCTGGGTCAGGGGTATACAGGGATTCTTCGCCACTTCTGCGCAAGTCGGAAACTGTGTCAAAACAAAAGGGTGACATTAAGAAAACAATCTCAGCTCTGCCACTTGGCCCCTTTCAGCCTCAGCTCCATCATCTCAAAATGGCAACATCGGTGCAAGTGTATTGGACAATTTCATTTGGGGGGACATGGTCAAAAAATAGCAAGTCCTTAAACTTTCTTGAATGAGGAGATGGGTAACAGAGTCAGGGATAAGGTAGGAGGTCTGGGGCATCTACTACATATGTTTCCTAGTCATAAAAACCATGATTTCCCATTCGGCCATGGCTATTCCCTCAAATGAGCTGTGTCAAATCAGATAGAGCAGAGGACCCTTGAAATAGTGCTTCCCTTTCAAGGTTGTTGTGGGAACTGAATGACGTCGTCCACAGCCACGCCCTCTTGCAGTGCCCGACGTACAGCAGGGATTTAAGTCATGGTGGCAAATACTGCTGCCATGATTGTTGCTCTCGTCAGCCTCATGCCTGTTTGATTCATGATTCCTGGAGGGTAGGAAACTTCCATCGCACCTCACCACAGTATGCTCTGCTCTTGCCTAGCCATCAAGTGGAAGTTCCTTCCGGACAGTCAAGTTTGTTCGGTGAATGACTTTCTGGCCAGGGTGCCAGCCAAATGATACTACCCACCAGCCTCAGCCGAGTTTCAGCTGGGTGGCTGTGGCAGCCAAGATTGGGTTCAAAGAAGTTTTCTTAAACCCACGCACCTAGTTGAGGGTTCATGGTGAGCAAATCCAAGCCAAAATGACGGGGAAAGGTAAAGGCATGAAATGAGCAAGGTCATGACCTAGTTCTTCTGGACCAGAGCTCTGCCATCTTTTGTCTTTTATAGGAGTTGCCTGTGGGTTTCTTCCTGAGTCTTCCTCCCCAGCTCTCCTTAACCCTTGCCATGACACACACACCCCAGCTTTCTAGACTCTGAAAATCCCTCACTCCCTACAGTAATTCAATCCCTAATTTCTCTAGTCCCTGTGCTTCCAAAAATCCTCTAAGAAAAGCCCAGTACACCATGGGTAGCAGTCCTTCCCAGGTCCCCCTGAGAGAGTAGTTTCAAGGTCTCAATGAATTGGTCTTGGGCCTTAGGAAATTAACATCCAAAGGGCAAGGCAAAGGCTGATCTGGAAGCCTGGAACCCCTTC